TGCCGGGGCGGGGACGGGAGCCCACTCTGCAGGCTGATCAACAGGCTATCGAGTTGGGCTATGCTGAGGACCGCCAACTGTGGACGTGCGCTAAAAAGCAAAGGGTGCGTCCGAAGAAGTGCGCGTTATACTGTAGGCGGGTGCGTTTCGCCACCGTGTGCAACTGTCTCTCAAAGCAGCTGCTTTAGAAACAACAGCACGACCACTTCTGGAAATCAAAGTACTCCCTTAAGCTCCGCCCCCCGGCTGCCCGGATCACCTCCAGGACCGCCGCGGTCCCGAGACCAGGGCCCCGCGAGGGATCTTACAGCACCAGTCCCGAACCCCAGCCGTGGGCGGCGAAGCCCAGGCTGTCTTAGGAGATGGCGAGCGGGGCTGGAGCCTCGACACACGCATCGCGCACGGAGCCTGAGCAACACGGCAGACACGGCTACGGCTGTTCTTCCAGTGCAGACGCTTCTGCGACTTTAAAAAGGACGTTTACACGAGCACAAGGGCGGGGGCGGAAGACGCGGGACACTGCCTGGCGGGGAGGGGCAGCACAGCGCCCTGGGCGCCAGGCCCACCGCTGGGGCAAGGGCCCGCTGGAAGCCCAGGCTTCACTTGCCCACAACTTACGAACGTGGTCAACCTTCACACGCACCCCCAAGTGTTAGAGTCTTTTCCTTTAAGGTGCACTTAAAATCGTTCCCAGAACCAGGTGCAGTAGCTCACACTCGTGATCCCAGCACTCGGGGAGGCCGAGGCGAGCGGGCTGCCTGAGCCCAGGGTTCCAGACCAGCCCGGGCAACTTGGTGAGACCGCGTCTCGACAACCAAGCTAAAACACTGGCCAGGCATGGTGGCGCACGCCTGTAGTTGCAGCTCCTTGGAAGGCTGAGGTGGAAGGGTGGCCTGAGCCCAGCAGGTCGACGCTGGGGTGGCCGTGAGCTTGCCACCGCACTCCAGCCTGAGCGACAGAGGGAGGCTCTGACTCAAAAAAAAAGTTGTCACCGAACTTATATATAGTAGCTCGCAGTACCGACCTTGGCTTTCTGAGAAGTTAGAGAAATAAGTTGGGGGGTGGGGATCTCTTTAAAAGCTTAGAAAACAGTCACGGAGCAAAAACTCCTGGCCTGGGAGGCCCGGAGAGGTCCGGGCAGGCGCCAGGCCCACCGCGCCCCGCCCC